GAGCAACAGAACCCTAAAAAAGATTGAAGAGCGGCGAAGGTTCTACCCTTTTATTGTTCACAATGTATCCCACCTGAAAACAGTGTTAATTTTGGTGAGGAAATGGACTATGGTGGCCGACCATCGCGCCAACTTCACGTCGCACAACGCCGTATTTGCACAGCATGTATTAAATCCATCCTAAACAAAAATATTGTTGTTGTTCGGGAAAGGGTATAAAATCGGACACACGAAAATGAGGTCAGACTTTGGAAATGCGCCTCTACGTAATTCTCTTCGCTCTTTTCATCACGGCTGTCTGCGCCAAGGTATGCTCCCATGCTCCTACAAGTTTTCTTGATGAACCCTTTCAACCTCTACATTTTCAGAGTGACAGCTCCCAGTCACGAGAAAAGACTTCAGGAGAGATTTCTCTCATTCAACGAAAATTTTGGCGGCCCAGGCCCGGCTGAGGCGCTTGCTTTAGACGCAAGTGCTGCTGAAGAAGACGAAGAGGACGATGAAGAGGATGAAGAAGAGCAAGAACAAGATGAGGGGGTGGAGTACGAGGACGAAGACGAAGACTTTTACCACTACTCTAACAACTCAGCCTGTGGAAGCTTCTGAAGAGACTGAGATGGTTGAAGTAACAGATGAAGGTGGTGAGGAGACGAACCAAACAGTCACTACAGCTCCACAGCCAACTGACAGTGAAAGTGCTACTAGTGAAGTAACATCCCCGCTTCCAACGTTGGCTCAAGTGGGTTAAAATCGATCGCCTGCGATCCGGCTTGGTGAGGGCGCTTTGCTGGTGCCTAGGCATCACAGTAAAGCCTCGCTGTGCCGACGCTGTAAATAACCGTAAAGCGGCGCAGTGCTGGGCCGACGGGGACAGTTTTGTCTTTTTTCGTTGATCTTAGTTGTGTTTATCAAGGGTCTGGCACTTTGGTGAAACCTGTGAACTCTTGTAAAGCTGGAGCAAGCTCGTCATGCCATCATGGCAAAACCTGCCAACTCGAGAAGAGGTCTGGATGGGTCAGATGGAAAGTCGTTGAAGTTGCAAAGTGCCCCCCCTCTTCCCGTCGCCAAACAGCGCCCTGTAAAGCTATGCAACAGTAGGAACTTGATTAACACTCGACAAGAGTATGCAGGTCTCACCAAAATGTGACTTGCAGTTCATTAGGAATTGAAACTGTAAAATGCCCCTACCGAGCCGGACAGCGCGTATTAATCGAATTGAAATCAAAATGAATCCGCGTAGACAGATATAGATGAGCTAGTTACAGACTTCAACAAGGATTGCTCCAATCGCGACAGTTGCGACACCATCGCCTTGCTTGGATAAAATCAACCCAAGTACCGGTAGATCAGACTGTCCCTCAAGGAGGAACCTGTGCAACCACGCGAGGTAATTATAGCAAGGAAGATCCTATAAAAAAGGCAGTCCATGATAATCGAAAGGGCGTTGACCAACATCCTTTGTGCTTCGGTCTCCTTCACTCGAGAGCGCACCAGTGAGAAATACGCTATGATCGCAACTCTCCGCCCATTGGATCATCGTGGAATGTTTTTTTACGAAATGACATGAGCACTCAAGTAGCCAATCTTTGCTTTCTCACGCCAAACAACCTATTTAAATTTATTGCAGATACATCCAACTCATGCGGGAGCACTGCCCTCGTACATGCGGTTTCTGTAGCTCGAGAAGAGATCCAGAACGAGATCCTGTTGTTGGTTTTATTGTTCATGTATACTTGACGACACCATGAAATCGAAATTTTTCAGACCGAAGAATGCGTCGACCGCACCAATCCTCGAACTGGACGCTCTGACTGCCCAAATCGTCGACCTCTTTGTCAACGTAATATCTACCAAAGGCTGATGAGAGAGCAATGCCCTCGTACTTGTGGATTCTGCGTTAGTAGATTGATCAGGAGCAAGAATCAAGTAGGTGCTAACAGGAAATTTTCCAATTCGGCAAGTGTACAGTTGCTACTCAAAAGATCCCCTTAGCGGTTGGGTACAGTATCGTTGAGAGATTCCTATCAGGCATCAGAGGAGTTGTATTTGATATGGACAGAAAGCAGACAGGTTGGGATAGTCTAACACTGAACGCTCTTCCATGCTGAAGCTGCAGCGTAGTCAACGGAAAATCTGCGGTTGGATTTTCTGGTTACAAAATACGTTTGATTAGTGCAGCCTCCTGTTTACCTTAATGCAATAAAAATTGAAATAAAAATTCAGAATTCCATCACAAAACGCCCCCGCGGAGAAAGAAGACCGGCTCAACTCGGGCGACGAAGGTTTGAGGCGACAAATGGAAGTAATATGGAACATTGTTCATGTAATATTTTGAAATAAATGTCGTTTAATTCGAGAATGAGTTCAAATAAGACAATGGAAAAAAAATTTGAGCGAATGGCTTCCGGTTATGGTCCTACAGGGGGGGCAATAAAACAAGAACTTCTCTCCCTTGACATTTTCGAGGCGCTATAAGTTGCACTTGATTGAGTTCTGATCGGACCTTTTTACTACCATATTAAACAGCATATTGAATACTATCATGTGCTCCGCCACAGCCTTCTGGAACCAACTGCATCTGAGAGATTTCCGCCCAGCGCAACCATGGTTCGGTGCTTGAGTTCAGCGAGATCGTTGATTTCTCCGCCACTGTAGACCACCCTATTGAACTCCGCCCAAACCAAGCAATTGAGGGGGTTCATTTCAGGTGATCAGTTTAGATAGTTCATCTTCTTCAGGAACTCAACGCCCTTCCATTAAAAGTGGGCGAGAGTTTTTCCAACGTCCTTCGATTTCATGTGGTGTCCCCATCCTGTAGCAGTACATGGTTTCCAAGAAGGTACGGGCGACAAACATGTGGGAGGATATTCTTCTCTGAAACCGCGTTGATGTGATCGCCAGCGCTTCACCTTCAGTCTGGGGCCCGAAAAATATCGGTCCTTTTCCTTTTCAGGTACGTCGGCGCATACCTATGCAACACGCGCCTTGGTCGACTGTGGTGAATGATGATGTCCAGGCCGTAGGCGACGTTATGACGGAGCTGCTCGGATGTTGGAGGCCTTTCTAGATCGAAAACAGCTGGTCTCTGCCAGGTAGCTATCCATGGGTGGCTCCGCACTAGAAGTTTCGCAGCTGTTTGGAGGTGACATGAATTCCAAAGGTCTTCTCCAGTCAGGCTGCGACTGGAGATGACTTCATATTTTGGTGTACATGAAGGTGATGAGCGAGAGCCAGCTCCTGCTTATAGAGGAACATCTTGGGTATCTTCCGCCGTGGTACTCGTATGCATATGCACGTCCTCTGCGCTGGGCTGTAAAAATTTTGCTGATATGTAATCGTCGAAGTGTTTTTTATTGGCCGCCCCCCCTTGTATGACCTACACTAATGAATGCAAAATCTAAATGTTTCACCTCTCTTCGCGCTCTAGAAGTTCAGCCCTCAAATGTCCATTTGGCGGTGAAGGAATTCCACGGCAAAATCATTACTGGAAAAAAGGAGTTAAGCAATACTAGCCTTGCAAAAGCGTTACACCGTCTCTTGAACAAAAGTTCCAGTATGTAGAAGTTTCAAACTCAGTGAGCTAAACAAAGCCTGGTTAGTTCTACGAAGCCAGCTTCATTGGGAATTTTTGTTACATTCATCTGCGAGCAGGAAAGACGGCTAGGGAGAAGAAGACCATACAGATTACCGTAAATCCTTAGTTACTGGAATAAAGACTCAGACGAACGAGGTCCTAAGATACGAAAACAATTCCCGGTGGGAACCTAGAAGGGTAAGGAGCAGGGGAACATGGAAGTGCTACATGAAGCCTAAGTTTGTATCAATTCCTGCACACAATCTTGTCCAGGACGACCGAGGCTTCCATATCCCGGAGTCGGTCCTGACCGTACAAGCGAGCTCTTCGACAGAATGCGCAATTAGAAAGTGTGAGCACAGCCTAAGCATGGGGTAAGAACCTATCATCCACGGGCCTTCTATTTCTTACCCCATGCTTAGGCTGTGCTCACACTTTCTGGAAACTTTTCTGAGAATGCTATGAAAGTAAAGCAAGGTGTCAGTCTTCGGTGGCCGTCAGTGTCTTGGGAGCAACGGTGTTTTGAGGAAATTACATGAGGAGGATAGTGTAGCCATGGACCCTGAGTTCAACAAGAGTTGGGAAACACCGGAGCTGGTAACTACAGGGTGCGGCGTACAGTATGTACTAAAGGTTTCAGTAACCTAGCGGTATTCTACTCTCCTTTTCCCTGAATCGTCAGCCTGTTGTTTCGAGAGGCGAAAGTGGCACATCTTATACGAGCAGCGGACCTTCTACGTAGAAGAGATTTTACCTCCCACGTTACAGCAGAATGTGCCGTTGGAGTCATGTATACAGGGCGTTAAGAGCGTCCCGTCTTCATGAAAATTCCGTGACCTGTACTCCCTAGGTCACAGCAGGGATGGAGAGCCTAACATTGCCTCTATTTAGTTAAACTTCAAACTGGTGTGTAAATTGTGTATGGATTCCTGCTATGAACTGAAGAACAAATTGCTGGATTAGGAAAAGGAGAAAGGTGAGTGGCGTCTTGTTCTGTAGCGGAGACCGCGATGAAAGAGGCGCTACAACTTGCACACGGGCTGAGCGCAGCATTCGCTAAGAGTCAACCAACATCACGTCGAGGAAAATTGGGCGGGGGGGGGGTACGCCCCCTCCCCTCAGTGACTGCGAACTGTGTGGAAGTATCTGTTTATGTTCTTCAATGTTGGCTGTATATTTGTTTATTATGCGAATAAGAATGCAATCGAGAAACAAAAGTACTGCAAAAGCATTGAAAAGCGTGACAAAAGTTAGTTTCGCAGAAGCAGGCGTAATGGCAGAGGTGGAACCTCGAAAAATGATCAATGGCAAAACGAACCAACACACAGGCAAGGCATTGACTGCGTCGCGCCTTGAGATTGAAGCTATCGGCCCATTGCATAGTATTTTGAAAGGGTATAACTCCATTCGGAGACCATCACATAGCGGTAAGAACTATTTAAGTTGTATGGCCAGGCTCTATACGCTGCAAGTTTCATCAAGCTTGCAGGACGGCCTCTGGCCAGAAAAAAGCGGAGAATTTCGGCAATTTTGGGGCATGGAAACTAGGAGGTTTCCTCTTTTGAATGAGGGCCAAACATTTGCTGTAGCTTGACTACGCGAAAACTCGCCCGTCGCGGAAAATCACAAAAATAAGCGGAGAATTTTTTGCGAACGCAAGTTTTTACATTTCAAAGGCCAGGACTTCGTTAAGACATAACGAGGAACGGAGCTGTACAAGGCTGCGAGAAGTAAACGGTTATCCTTATGCAAAGAGAGCAACATCTTTGTTGTAGCTAAATTACAGCGAAAATCCCGGTTTTCCATTCGAAAGCCAGCTTCAGCTTGCTGCATGAGGAGCTCTATCCTGCAAAGCCCACATTTCCATGTAGAAAGCTGGGTAGGCTTCCCTTACAGCTCCTCCTCATATTTCGAATGGGAATTGATGCGCAGAGGCGCTGGAATGCGCCATGTACTCGACTTCCTTTCCGAATGCATCACCCATCCTGCGAGCTATGTACGTCGCTGCCGTGTTCAGTACTGATCTCTCAAATACAACCCGTGCCCTGTACCGCCTCTGCGGGCGGGAGGAGGGGGTACGACATCTTCGTCGCGAATTCCGCGACTGCTTGACCTTGGAGTCAACCTACTCAGGATGGGGGCGCTGCGCATTTTTGATTCTCTGTACGTCTCACAACTAAATAGGGGTTTACGCTATATGTATGCCCCAAAAGAGAATATCTTCGGAGGTGAAGCTCGTCATCAAAATACATGGGTGGTGGGCGATCCAGTAGTGATGAAAGCAGAAGAAAAGGCATTTTGAAACGCTCTAAATATGAGAGCTACTGTGTAGTCTAGCACGTACGGATAAAATTCGAAAAGAAGGCGTGCGTGGGCGCGTTCTTGCTGGTTGGTACCATAAAGATATGGAAGCTTTTGCGACGATCGACGGGCTCACTACAGTGGGGTTCCAAGGCTGTAGACAGGAACGCAGCAGTGGGTGGGTTTGAAGGGGTTGGCCACTAGTGTTTCGGGAGAGTATAGAAGAATGGTAGCGTACCAGACTATCTGATTAGGCTCTTGTTTCTCGAAACACCATCGGCGATTGATAGCCCGTCCATGGCTGCGCTCCTGTCTGTCTACTACTGGAGGACTGTTGCAATGGTAGCGCCTCGTCTGAACGCCTATCACTTCTTTCCCTATCACTCCACTCTCAGGGGTGTGTCGCGGCTGTCGGCAAAATGAAATACAAGTAGACCTCATGGAGAGCTCAGCGAGAGGGAATGGAGGAACGACCACTTGCTAACACTGGGAACGGAAAGGAACGGAAAAGGCTTTCGTGTCCAACTGCCTGCAATATATCAGCTGTGATAGGTCCTATCAAACTCTTCAAAGGGCACCTTCACAATCCATCCTTGTTGTATGGAAAAACCCACGCCGATGTTAGCGTTAAATTGAAATGAGCGACCCTTAAAGTCAGGACACTAGCTTTTACCTAAGATGTTCTGCAAAGAACACGGCTCTATTCTACCCTCATTGGGACACGCCGCGCGCTTTGTATCAGTTCAAAGTGGTGCTGACATCTGGACTAAACCTGACCAAAACAATGAGTTCAGGCGGCCGGTCATAGTGCAACTTTGCTTTTTTCAGACCTTCAGTACTGTGTGACACAATGGAAGGGCAAATGACCGCGTGGACATGGAAAGAACATGGATGGTGATCCAGCTCTTACGCCGTGCGAGTAGAGCCACCTGCCACTAATAATCCCCGTTTTTAAGAAGCTAACACTACTGTAAGATTCACTACAGTACCATACCAAGAGGTCGTTCTAATGCAAATACTAACTCAATGTTAACACACTTATAAATAACTTGTATGGACAGCATTGTTGAATTACATTATTTAAACAGCAGCCAATGAACAGATGAAACTAGCGCCGTTGGCAAATATTTGTTGTAAACAAGCGAAGTGATAAATACCCCGGAAGAAATTAGCGGCCGCAGATCATCGATGAGAGCGCTTTGCTTCTCATTTCTATCGCTTCTTTACGTAACGCAAGTCACTCCACTAAAGGTAAGCGGCACTTTTCCCGAACAATGTTGTATATTTTAGTGAATAAAGCCATTCAGACGTCCTCATTCACTCGCCACAAAAGGAATGGCTCCAACAAGAAATCGACAACAACACAAGGCATCCACATATTGACGGAGCCAACCTGACCCCTCATGTATCGAGCACTATTGCGCCAACGGCTATGGAAGAAGGAGGGCGGACATTGTCATTCATGGAATCAAGCAAATTCTCAATAATCGCAATTGTGACAAAAGAGAACGAGAGAGACAGGACAACCGCTGCCGGCATCTTCAACCTCAACCAAGGACTTCAATATCACTCCATGATGACAAGGAGACTACCACTCCCACTGAATCATCAACGCTGTTGACATCAGAAGATGATCATAAGATCAACCGGAAAACTGCTACCACTTCTTCGTCTACAACCTCGGCAGTAACTTCGACGACGACACCATTAGCAGTGGATGAAGACACCACGCTACTTATGGAGCCCAACGCGTCTAAAACAGTTACCTCTACGACAACATCAGTGGTAATGAATGAGGAAACCACTCCAGTTATGGAAGCAGCCTCGTCTACAACAGTCACCTCGACGAGGACATTCTGCACCATTTAACGATGACAACGAGACCACCACTCCCACTGCATCGTCAACACTGTCGACATCAGAAGCTGATGTGAAGACGGATCGGACTACTGCTGCCACCTCCACCCCCGCAACTTCGACAGCAACCTCGACGACAGCTCTAATGGATGAAGAGACTACGCCAGATGTGGAGGCGACTCCGTCCACAACAGTTACCTCGACGACGACTTCTGCACCTTTTAACGATGACAACGAGACCACCACTCCCACTGCATCGTCAACACTGTCGACATCAGAAGCTGATGTGAAGACGGATCGGACTACTGCTGCCACCTCCACCCCTGCAACTTCGACAGCAACCTCGACGACAGCTCTAATGGATGAAGAGACTACGCCAGATGTGGAGGCGACTCCGTCCACAACAGTTACCTCGACGACGACTTCTGCACCATTTAACGATGACAACGAGACCACCACTCCCACTGCATCGTCAACACTGTCGACATCAGAAGCTGATGTGAAGACGGATCGGACTACTGCTGCCACCTCCACCCCTGCAACTTCGACAGCAACCTCGACGACAGCTCTAATGGATGAAGAGACTACGCCAGATGTGGAGGCGACTCCGTCCACAACAGTTACCTCGACGACGACTTCTGCACCATTTAACGATGACAACGAGACCACCACTCCCACTGCATCGTCAACACTGTCGACATCAGAAGCTGATGTGAAGACGGATCGGACTACTGCTGCCACCTCCACCCCTGCAACTTCGACAGCAACCTCGACGACAGCTCTAATGGATGAAGAGACTACGCCAGATGTGGAGGCGACTCCGTCCACAACAGTTACCTCGACGACGACTTCTGCACCATTTAACGATGACAACGAGACCACCACTCCCACTGCATCGTCAACACTGTCGACATCAGAAGTTGATGTGAAGACGGATCGGACTACTGCTGCCACCTCCACCCCTGCAACTTCGACAGCAACCTCGACGACAGCTCTAATGGATGAAGAGACTACGCCAGATGTGGAGGCGACTCCGTCCACAACAGTTACCTCGACGACGACATCAACAGTGACGGATGAAGGAACCACGCCAGATGTGGAGGCGACTCCGTCCACAACAGTTACCTCGACGACGACTTCTGCACCATTTAACGATGACAACGAGACCACCACTCCCACTGCATCGTCAACACTGTCGACATCAGAAGTTGATGTGAAGACGGATCGGACTACTGCTGCCACCTCCACCCCTGCAACTTCGACAGCAACCTCGACGACAGCTCTAATGGATGAAGAGACTACGCCAGATGTGGAGGCGACTCCGTCCACAACAGTTACCTCGACGAC